AGCAAAAACCTCAGGAGTAGCCAAATCGATAGTCTGTTACAATTTTTGGTTTTTATAAAGAAGGAATGCTCTTGTGAGCTCAGCAACACATAAAGGCCTGGAAGACCGTGGAGGACTACTGCAGCAGATGATCGCAGATTTCTTTTCTTGGTGAAGAAAACCCCCGTCACAAATTCGAAAACACTCTCGAAGAGGTAGAAGTGTCGTCGTCACAGTCTGCAATCAAGTGAGGACTTAATGAAGGTTTTACCTAGAGATGCAAAACATCGGTAACACTCACAGGAAGGACGGATCGGACTTTACCAGAAAACATATAAAAATGTCCTGTTCTGGAGCAAGATTCTTAGGACAGATTAAGCTGGAAAAGAAGAACATCCCACATCATCTGTCAAACATGATGAAGGTGATGTTACGGGCGTGTACAGCTGGTTCCCTGCTGTTCACTGATGATGTGACAGAAGTGGCAGGATGAATCCAGTCATGTACAGAGCTACACTTTCTGCTCAGAATCACTCAAGTGCTGCAGAACTGACAGGCCGGTGCTTCAAAGCACAGATGGATGGATGAACCGAAGCATAGAACAACCCAAGAGCTTCTTAAGGCATAGAAAAGTAGTTTTCCTAAATTGCAGAGTCAGTGACCTGACCTCAACCCAACTGAGCTGCTGAGATCAAACTGAAGGCTCAAAACCTCCCAAACGAGCAGCAGCTGAAGGCGGCTGCAGCGACAGCATCGGAAAACCTCTCAAGGGAGGAAAGACAGCATTTGGTGACGATCGTGGGTTCCAGAGTTCACCTAACCCTTTATAAATAAGGTAGCTTGTCCAATTACTTTTAAGCTTGAACTGAAGCTGACAGTCTGCACCTCAGTCACATCTTGGTTGTGGTTATGCACAAGAAATACAACAACTGCATCTCCGTCTGAATACTTAAGGACCTGATTGCATGTACAGCTGAATGCAGGGACACCGACTGTACTGGCTACATGTATTAGATGTTCTTAAATACACTGAAGTCCCATTGAAAGAAAGTGTCTGTTTTCTGAAATAAAAATAAAATGTGTTGAGTTAAAATGAAACAGTTTAAAGCTCTGACAAGTTAGTAAGTGGGCCGTCTGAGCTCAGATTGCCATGATGACAGTTTGTGAAAACACCTAGTTCAGGGTTTATCCTGAATGAAACTAAGCTGTAATAGTCCCATGAAATGCAATAAAAGTGTGGCTGGAAAAAATATGTCTTTATTCCATTGTTAAAATTATGTTGTTTTAAAATCTGTTTTTATTCTTTCTTTAACAACATACTGTTATTTTATTTTAAAGATTTTCCCTGTTTTGTAAAATCATAGATAATAACTAGTAAATATTACATTTGACAATAAATTGCTTCTTTTTTAAAAAAAAAAAAAAACTGTATTTAGATCAACAAAAACATAATTATTACACAAGATATTTGGTCAATAATTTTGTAATTTTGTAAATGGTAAAATGTCCCTTTTTTGTCAGATTATAGATATGTCTAATAAGAATGTACATATTGTCTATATCACAAATCTGTATTGTTATAAATAGTAATTTGCTCTTTAACAAAGTGTGACTGGAAATAAATGCAGTTTTATTTTATTTAAATCCACTTTTAAAAAGCACTTTTTTTTCTTTCGTTGAAATTTTTGAACATTACAGGATTCCATAATTTTTCAAACATACGTTTTAATTGTCGATGTTTTGTTTGTTTTTGCTGGATTTTCTAATTAGCTTATTTTTTACAGTGTGTGATTGTGTTAAACAAAAGAGAAAACCATAAACTATGTCTTGTCATGCAAACACATGCATTTCTGTGGTTGAAGAAGTTTTGTTGCTGAAACTGAAGTGTGTGACATAAATAATATGTTACTATTGAGCACTACAGTTATATATTGTTCATGAAAGGGTTAAGCAGGAAGCCCTGCCTCTGTTATGCATTGTCCACAAATCTGTCGCTCAGTTATCAAGACACAGTTACTTTTACTTACTTACTGTAAAGGTCTCTGTGGCCCCATGTTTAAGACTGCAGCTTGATTTAATCTGTCACCGACTGTTAGTGATTGTTTCCCTGCCCGTCGGTTTTATATTTAAATGGTGTGGAAAACTCCGCTTCGGGAGGAGGGGGAGTCAAATACTGGCAAGAGCTCAGGGTGCAAAGTGCAGGTTGGAACAGAGAACTGTTTTAACAAAGGCTTCGGCAAGAAGATAAGACTATGCATGACTAAAGAGAAGATATTAAAGGGTAGGGGAAGAAACAACGGCAAACACGAGACTGAAGGACAACAAAGAGGAACTTTGCTCAACAAGGAAGTTCGGTTTGCAGCGGAGGTTAGAAAAAAACGCGACCAGACACGGAACAGAAAGAGACGAGTTGAAAAAACACCCTTATGGCATACCAGCTGTTTGAAGGGAAGAACCATGCTTCCCTCTACCAAAAGTATCGCTTCACACCTCCAACTGAGCTCATAAACATTATTGTTCAGTACTTAGATAAAAAGGTATGTGTTGTGCGGTACATGTTATCACAGCACATGAAGCCATATCTTTTTATTATCTCATTCTATGTCTTATTAACAAGTATTTCACATCTGTTAACGTCGGCAGAAAGGCAAGCCACATGTGCTGGCAGTGGATCTGGGATGTGGAACGGGCCAGCATTCTCGACTGCTGGCGCCGCACTTCAAAGAAGTGGTGGGCTTGGACATCAGTGAGTCTCAGCTGGAAGAGGCCAGAGCTGTGCCAGGCTTCCCCAACGTCACATACAGGTGGGACTAAGCCATGCTAACAGTTTATATTCTACATGACAGTACGAAGGCATGAGTAATCTCGCCTTCCTTCTCTCCAGTAACTCTGAATACATGTGTTTTTCAAATACTTTAACCTTTATTTTGTGCAATATAATATCTCTTAATATTTCCTTTAAATATTTTACAGTATTGCAACTCTTAAAAATATATTGGATTATAAATCAGCCACTCAAAGCACTTTAATAATCATATACAGTGGCTTTAATATCTGTTTACGAAGACGTGGTGGACGAAGAAGATGCTACTCTTCTTCCTGCTACTCAGGAAGTTCAACCTTTAAAGAGAAATTTTGGGTTCGATTAACGGCGACAGTCTTCGGATGCCACCAGTTGGATGTTTAAGCTTTATTTTCAGCCGCTCAGATAGGACTATCTGCAGCTACACTCTTGATGTGTTGCAGAAAGGGGTCAGCGGAGGAGCTTCCGTTTCCCGACGGCTCAGTCGACTTGTTGACGGCGGCGACAGCAGCCCACTGGTTTGATCAGACAAAGTTTCTGGCTGAAGCAAGTCGGGTCCTGAAACCCGGAGGCTGCATTGCATTGGTGGGCTTCACCGATGGCAACAGCAAATTCATCTACCAGAACTGTGGAGAAAAACTCTTCCAAATCTATAGAGAGGTACGTGCAGCACGAAAGGCCTCTGGCTGCATGTGAGTGGTGTTGCAGCGGTACCAATATCTAAACACTGAGTTAATGACAGACGGAAAAAGGTGGAGCAACATGGATTAATGATTTTTTTTTAAAGCTTAGCCTTTTTTGGCTGCAAAACACTAATTTGGTTTAACTGGAAGATTTATGAAGGGATAGCTCACCACGCTAAGCTGGCCCCTTCCCGCACCGGGCAGCGGTCCCGGTGGTGGAGGCCCTGAGTTCGAATCCCGCTCAGGGCTGATAACACTTTAGGGCTGCAAGGTGGCGCAGTTGGTAGCACTGTTGCCTCGCAGCNACTCCACGCAGAAAGATTCCGGTGCCCCCACCGGGACGCGAACCGGCGACCTTCTTGCTGCGAGGCAACAGTGCCACCTTGCAGCCCGAGACTGCATATAGATTCTCTTATTTTGACAGTTTTGCACCAGCGGGGATTGACGTACAAGCACACGCCCTCTCCCAGTGATTTGCCAGTGATTTGTGCGTCACGATCAAGCCGGAAAGGCTGACCAAAACCATCAATTTCAACATCATGAATCAGATCGTAATCCTTAAGCCAGGTCTCAGTTAAAGCGATCACACAGGCATCCCTGTACTCCGAGATATGCTTCACATTCGCTTGAAGCTCGTCCACCTTGTTCCTCAAAGACTGCGCGTTGCCAAGGATAATTGAGGGGAGCGGTAAGCGGCGGAGTCCTAGTCTCCGCAGCCGCTGACGCACCCCTCCTCTCCGGGCACGCTTCCTCGTTCGAACCGCAGTCTGCTGCCGCCGAGGGCTTCTGGATCTGTGAGGGGCTGTTTGCCTCGCTGCCTCTGGTGTGCCAGCCGGTCTGAACGAGAGCCTCCAGCCCGATTCCTCCGGATCTCTGGCGGGATACCATCAGGTGAAATCACTGCCCCTGAATTGCTGCAGTTGATAAGAAAGTCACGGCTGTATCTGAGCCTGTCAGATCGGTTGCTCTGCTGGACGTTGATGGCAGTCCCAAGAGCGACCAAGTTCAGGAAAAAAAAACACTGACTAAATCCATTATGACTCCGGTATAAAAGTGTTAAAAAGACGACACACGGGCGTTAAAACCACAGTTCCCACAATCACTCGCACACACTCTTGCTGCGTGTCGCCATGACCAGCGCCACGCTTCCTTGATCCCTGATTTCCATTTAATGTTATTAGCACTACACAGATTTCAAAACGCACAATGCTGGTTCCTCTTATGCACAGAAAAAAAACACTTAGCATATTTTGTAAATAAGTTTTTTGAAGTTGTCTCTTTAAAGGCCTCAATTATGAAACATTGCACGTATGAGTGGAAGTAATGGGACCTCCCAGTTCTCAGGCACCCCGCTGTGTCAGTCTTTTGTTTGTGTGTTAGTGTGAGTCTGTGTGTGTTTGACTGCTGCCAGAAAAGAATTCAGTCTCTTCAGTGTGGAGGTTTGTGCCTCTTATCTGGAAAAAAAAACCCAAAACCAACATAAGCTTGTGCGCTTTAATCTTTTTTTTTTTCTTTTTTTTTGATACCATCAACCAGTCATGGCTCACCGTCTGTTTGAAGGCAAAGAACATGCTGCTTCCTATTGGAAATACAGGATCTCTCCATCAGATCATCTAATGCAACAAGTGCTTGACTTCTTGGAAAAGCGAGTAAGTACAGGTGGCAGTAGATGGTAGCTCATGTGTTGGTAGTTTGTTAAGAAAGTGTTGCAGGGTAGAAATAGTTAAAAGTGTCACTACCAGTTGGTAATGCCATCGAAGTTTTCCGGAAAGCCACATAACGTGTCAAATGTGCTGTCAGAAAGGTCGGCCCTTTGAGCTGGCCCTGGACGTGGGTTGTGGTTCAGGGCAGGGAACTCTGCGACTGGCCAAACACTTTGCCTCTGTGGTGGGGACAGATGTGAGTCCTGCACAGCTGGAAGTGGCTTCACAGTTTGCTAAAGAGCCAAACATCACGTATAGGTAAGCATGGACCAAACAAGAGACTATATGACACAGCATGTGAAAAACAAATTAAATGTTTTGTATTTAGTTATTTTTCTTGTATCATAATTAAAAGCTCTTGTTTTTTTTTTTTTCATTTCTGTAAAGTGTGACATCAAGCAAACCTAATAAAATGTGTGATGAGATGTTAAGAAACCATCACAATGACCATCACATCATTTGTTCAGCTCTGTTAAACTACTTTGCTGAATCGTAGCTCAAGCAGAAACAATGATCCGTCGTCAGGGCCTCTCAGCGTGACCGACTTTCACAAAACAAGGGTCACATTGTTCCTGCCTGAGCTTTGAGCTGTCAGAAGTATCCACAGAAACATCCTGCATGCTGCTCCCGCTAAAGTTGAAAAATGACTCGGTCAAGAGTTTTGCCTTCGTTCCGTCTTCAGACGGTGTGTTGCCGAGGAGCTGCCTTTCGCTGACAGCTCAGTGGACCTGGTGACGGCCATGTCTGCCTTCCACTGGTTTGACAGGCCGCGCTTTCTCCGGGAGGCCCACAGGGTGCTGAAGCCCCGCGGCTGCTTGGCTCTGCTCAACTACACCATTGACATGGAGCTCAGCTACCCTGACTGCTGCTCGCACACACTGAACCAAATCTGCAAAGAGGTACTGGCAGAACAGTCACCTGACAGAAGTTATGAAAGATACACTGATGTACATGTGACTACAACTGCAAAAACAGATAGACTGTCAGGCAGTACTGTTACCACAAGTATATATAGTTATACAGTGTGTACATATTATCAAACTGTGCATTTACAGTACAGTTAACAAAGTCTAGGATGCCTTAAAGAGCTCTCTGTTAGGTGCCTCAGGATGAATTTATAGCCATGGATGAAGCAGATTTGAGAGTCCATTTAGGGAACACATCCTGTCCTGCAACATCTCAAGATTTAAAAATCGGAATTATTCTATTCAGTGTCCAGAGACGTCACTTTATGAGTTTCAATTCAGGTTACTTCTGTCTTTGTGAGTGCAGAAAATAACTGGAACAATCTAAAGTTGTGCTAGTTTACTAAAATAAAGACAGCCTTTGTGTCAAAACATGAGATGCCACAATTCAGATATGATCATGTAGTAAATAAAGTTGTGGGAAAATAGACGCTAAATATAGTTTTTAGCCATTTTAAAGTTGGTGAAAGCAAAAGGGGTGAATCTGTCTCTGCATCTGTCTCATCTGACTGATTCTACTGATGTAGTGGAAATAAACTGCACATCACCATCTTCACCCTTAAATCAGCTGTTTGTTTTTTTAAATTATTGTTATTATTTTATGTCCAGATTAAATCATTGCCTTGAATTTAGAATGAGCAGCATTACCATCTAGTGGAAGCTTTTGGTAAAACAGTCTTTACTGAGAAGGACAATTGTTTCAGTTTAGGTAAATTGCAGCAGGATTTTGTGAATGAAATTGGGAAGCACCAGTTAAATTCAGACAACACTGAAGTCTGTATTACAATAGAAGAAATATAGAAATAGCTACATGTTAAAGCATCTTCATTATTGCATGAATAATCCTGCATACGATACATCTAGTTCATATGCTAACAATGAAGTGATGAAAATTAATAATCTGTTGACTCATTTTCTGTTATATTTCATTAGTTTTATGCAGCCTTGCACCCATACCGCAACCCCTGCCTTGGTGCGAGCTCCATTGAGTTGTACCGGGAGTCATATGAGTCCCTTCCTTACCCTGACAAGGAGTGGTGAGTGACAGCATGGCTTTGTTTGGTCCTATGTTAAATGATAATTGATCCTATGTTAAAACATGGTCTGATATGTAGCTCATAGATCTGATTTTCACTACCTGTCTCCATCCATCCATTATCTATACACCGCTTGATCCTCACTAGAGGTCGTGGGGGGGCTGGAGCCTATCCCAGCTGACTCAGGGCGAAGGCAGGGGACACCCTGGACAGGTCACCAGTCTATCACAGGGCTACACTTAGAGACAGACAACCAAGCACACTCACATTCATGCGTCCTACGGACAATTTAGAATCACCAATTAACCTCAGCTTGTGGACTTGTGGGAGGAACATGGCAGGTGGAGAACATGCAAACACCACACAGTGACACGAACTGGAGAAGTACTTGCTGCGAGGCAACAGTGCTACCAACTGTGTCACCTAAAGGAACCTTATTCACCTTTAATTCTTACCACGTCTCTCTCAAAATCATTGAAATATTTTACAAGGACAAATTTGACAGGTTTCCTCTCTGCTTCCTTTTCCAGACTGTCTGTAGGAAACACTGACATGTCAAAGCAGTGATGCTGCATTATGCTCTACACACTAAAGAAAACAAAAAGACATGTATTTCTTTTGCAAATTACATGTTCAGGTTACAAAATCTAAAAAAAATCCCTCATCATATTTGCTGTATATATAGTACATATATAATACCTCCACTGACTGTATTGTTTTTATGTGTAACAGGCAGGAGTGTGTGTGGGACAGAAGGCCCATGCCGCTGTCCGGCTTCATGGGGTTGGTTGAGTCTTTCTCCAGTTATCAGGCCATGCTCAGAGATGATCCCCAGAAGGCCACCACACTGTCCCAGGACATCTGTCAGAGGTGAGCTTTGCCTTCTGCAACACACATGTAACTCAGTATACACACACACCGTCAAGCCATAACATTAAAACCAGGTAAGGTGAATGAGCCATATGATGTCAACCTAATCTGAAAAAAGCTCCCACTTGACCCGCTAAGTCAACAGATTTTTTATGTGCAAAACTTCTAGTGTATTTAGTTCAGCCATACAAAATCTTCCCCTTATGCTTTGAATATTTCCAGGCCCTTGAGGTGCACGGGGGCCAGGCAAACATTTCTTTTAAGTACGGGACACAGTCACATGAAATGTTCAGGGCTGAAAAACAAATTTAAGATCTGTTCAAAACTGCAACCAAATCAAATTCACATCCACATTTTTTCTAAATGCAACTTGGAGCATTAATAATTGCGTGGAGCAAGCTGTAATTAGAAAGAAGGTAAGATTTTGCATGGCTTCATTTTGGATTCTAAAGTTTAGCTGCTCAGAAACAGTTCAAGGAACATGATGAAGAGCCTAAGGTGTTGACCCAGCCTCCAAATTACCCAGATCCCAAAATGATCAAGCATCCATGGGATGCATCCTAACAAGCCTGATCCACAGATGCCCCAAAGGTCCCAAACAATTTGCTGCCAAAGTCCTGGTGCCAGAGACACCACAGGACACCTCCAGAGGTTCCATTTTCATGCCCTGATGATCCAGAGCTGCTTCAGAGACACAAAGGGGACCCACACAATGTTAAGCAGTTGGTCTGAATGTTGTAGCTGGCTGACCGTTTATATGAATATATGTATGATTTATATATGTAGTTAAATATTTCTCAGTGCTGAGGTCATACATGTCTGTGGCATGTCTAATATGAAAATGAACCTAAACATGTAAACAAGTTTTATGCATGATTATGTAATGTTTTGTGAAAAAAACATATATTTTGAAGGTTTAAAGTGGTGAGGTAGGGTTTCTTTGTTCTGCTGAACTCCTCCCTCTGGTTGAATTCTCCTGTGTTCCTCTCCACAGGTTCATGTCTGTAATGAGGGTGACCTCTGCAGAGACAGAGGTGGTGGTGGCTGTCAAGTATTTCTACCTTTTGGCCTGCAAACCACAGGAAGCCTGATTCCTGCCAACTCCTGCACTTCTAGCAAAGTCATGAACCTCATTAAGGACACAGGAACACAGAAAGTTGATTTCATCGACTTTTCTGTGTAAATATGTTTGGTTTTTTTTGGACATTTAAAATCTAGGTAATGATCCTCTGTTTGCTGTTCCCTACTAATATGTAAACTCACCGTTTTGGACAAATGCTTCTCATATAAAAGAGTGCTTATCACTTTGCTGTGGAGCGTTAGATGAGAAAATACCTCCCACTCTCATGTCTTTATGTTGAATATATGTAACCATCCATGTAGGTTTCTTTTGAATACTGGTGTGTCAATGCAAAACATAATGGAATACATATATGGATCTGTTTTCCACGATAGATCCAGTGGTCGTATGACCTCATGATTCATATTTATATTTTTCAGAGAAATAAAAGTGCTGAAGTAAAACACCTGTTGAAGCATTGCTGTATTGGTAATGCTGTAGCAGTTTTCTGCCTCTTTCGTTTTTTTTGTTTTTTTTTTAAATTTGGGATGCAAATGGGCATGTTCTAAACATTAATCGACACCCGTTTATGTAGCTGGAACTGACAGCAAAGAAAATGTTGGACCACTCACACTTGTTTTTTTTTTTTGGTATAGATTAATCAGCTAATGTATTAAACCTTTTCAGTAAGACCATGATTTGCATTAAAAATAAATAAAAAAAACAAACAAAAGCATATTAGCTGTGTGTGCACAAATATTGACAAGAATCTCACGTTTGTAGAGCATTTANTCTGCAATTAAGCAGTGTGTTCATTTTGCAACCTCAGCTCTCCTTATGTAGGTCAAGCACACCCTATAATGAATAAATGAATAATTAATAGAAGCACTGCACCGTATACCTCCCCGGCTATATTATGTGTTATTGTACAGCATTGTGTCTTTTGTTTTGCTTTGTTGGGATTGTTTGTGTTGTTGGTGTGATTGTTGTTTGTTTTCCATTTGTGTTCCCATCCTGTATTTAATAAATAAAAGTAAGATAAATGAATGTAAAAACCCTAATCAGGGCTTCAAAGGATAGATAAATACTTGCAGAGTTTCTATCTTTCTGTATTAAGTAGACGGGACATAGTTTGTCTAATTTGGCATAAAGACTAAAGTAAAGGGGAAACAGGTCGTCTTGCTCTGTTAAGTGGTAAAAAAAACCCCAACTATATTCCAACTAAATGAGTTTATAAGTAAACTTGTATCACTGAAGAATGGTCTGGCTGCACCTCATTATCATTCTGCTACATTGAGCCCAAAACACTCTGACTTATGGTTATTTTTATTTATTTATTTTTTTTCATCACAGTTGTCTTGGATGGTGCTAAGCCCAGGATGCAGTGATGGTACCCCTGCAAAAAAAAACAAACAAACAAACATTATAATATAAAAACCTTGAGCTCCTTTTGAAACTGGAGTTACAAGGTGCTTTACAAGAAATAGCAAAAATGAAACTTAGAAGAAAGACAAAAGAGCATTACAAAATAAAATACTATACAAATGCCTGGTGGGTTTTTAAATGTTTGACTGACTGAGCTGTTCTGACAGTGAGGTGGTGTTTGTTCCACAGTGTAAAGGTACCGTCATCTGCCTTTTTGTTTTAAGCCCAGTCTATGCAATCTCTAACAACGGCTGACTCTCTATTCTGTGGGGTATAGATGCAGAATAAGCTGTTAAAAGTTCTCAGACGTAGAGTGGGGCCAGACCATGTATTGCAGAACAGACAGAAAACCTAAAATAGGGTTGAGGGGAATTATTTGGGGAAAACAGCTGCATGAACACCAAGAAACAAACAGTCCTGCCTTACTGCACAATCTTTATCAAATGTTGCTATGTGGAGATTGGAGACTTTATACCCACAGTCTACATCCGCTGAGTCAGACTAGACAGCATCAAACCTGGCAACCTGGCACTGGTCAGTCTACTTCCTGATTTGACATCTGCTTTTTAAATATCTTAAATTGCTGAACATTCGTATTAACTCACTTTCAGGCAATCCAGGAGCTGTTGCCGTATATGAGCGAAAGAGTATTTCTATGTGAGGGTAAGCTGGAAGAGCTGTACTCTGCCATCCCCTTTCCAGACAAAGAGAGGTAAGTACAACACCTACCTGACCTAAAGCGACGTCTGCGATGGCAGAATACAGAACCATTGTCTGCTGGAACCATCAGACACAGTGTTAAGTTGAATATCTGCAGTATGGCTGCCTCATTGCCTCATTTCCTGAAATAAACTTGCCATCTTAACTGTAGCACACTAAATATTTTCTTTACAAAAAAAAGTCAGTTAGTCATTATTGCTAGTCTTCATGGGCTTTATTTGTTTGATATCAATCCAAAAGGATTGATTGTTTTCAGGAAAAGTTGTTGATCTCAGTGAGGAACCTGGTGGGCTTCATGGAGAGCTGGTCCATGTTCCAGATTTACAAGAAGAAAGACCCCAAACGTGCTGAAGACCTGCTGGCCAACACTCAGAAAAGGTCAACCACACGTTCAACTCACATTCAGAAAGTGTTAAAAGTATTTGTTTTTGTGGTCAAATCATCTTCAGACTGTCTGAATATTGTTGTGTGATGCTGTCTGAAGGTTGAGCTGAATGACCAATCGCTGTATTCCTCACAGGTTCCTGGAGCAGATGAACGTCTCATCTCCAGACACTGAAATAGTGAGAGAGATGGAATATTACTGTGTCCTGGCATCCAAACCAAAATGATCAACACTGAAGCGCTGCATGTGTGTTTGTGGAGACAAACATGATGTGTGTTTGTTTGAGAGTTGTTGCAATTTAAAATTTATAAAGATTGAAATCACGATGCGGTAAGGAGCGTGCTTGTTGAATAAACCATTGTTCCCTCAGTGTATGACTCCTGTTCTGTATTCTACAAGGATTCTCAAACACAAAGAATGTTTCATTTTGCAGTGAACTAACTCCTCAAACTGTGTCCCACACCACAGCTGATCCCTCCGATGCTCACTGAGCGATTACATAACTGGGAACAAAATCTTTTGAAATTTAATGTGCCTACTGCTGTTCACAGATGGGGTGCCTGGACATTTTGGTTTAAATGATTTTTTTAAAAAATTATATCTATTTTTTAGCCAAGCTCTTGAGAACGTGACACTGTAGGTGGCACTTTTATTTATTATAACTACTTCAATACCTCTTTCTTTACTCTTGATATAGAGAAGTTTTGGCGCTCATCCAGTCAGTTTTAGAAGAAACTTGACACTCAGATGATAAAAGTTTACCATCAAACTTCATAGTAAGTTTGAAAATAAAACAGTGAGACTTTCATCGACTGTCAACATGATCACTTAGTAATCCTGTAGGTGTAATTTGCTTTAGCTCTTCAGAAAAAAAAAAGATTTACATTGCAATTGTTTAGGGTTATAAGCATGACTGATTGATTTATTCTTCTTTTTGATTTCTGGAGGGTAGCATAAATGTTGTAGGATGGAGACAGACAGCTGACAAATTTAAAGCGAAAACCCTAATTAAAGCTGCAAGCAGCGTTGGACGGACGTTCGCACTTCCGTGCGTGTCGGACGCGACACACGTTGTCGTGCAACGCATGTTGGGGTTGTTGCAGAAATGCGCTCTGGGCAAAATGATAATCACCTAACCATAACCCTAATCACATTTGAAGTAAATACAGTCAACTGGCTATCCATCCATCCATTATCTATACACCGCTTGATCCTCACNAACTTGCTCGATGTGCTTGCGTGGTGCTCACAGGTGGAATGTTTGGACCGAGCCAGGCAAGCTGGTTCCCATTGTTTCCTGTGTTCATGTGCTGAACGGAGCAGACCAGCTGCAGACTGTAGTTTTACATTCACTGTGCAGACATGTGTGCGGTGTACATCTTACTTATCTAACTCTTCTAAAAAACATCAAAGTATGCATTGCTATTCATATTGTAAAGCTGTACAGACAGTATGATCGACTGTTTCTTTATTGAAAACACTCACATATTTACAGTTACACTGCACAACCTGTGCTGTAACATTCCTCCTCTGAGGAACCCAGACAGATCAGTGATCAGGTGAAATACACAGAAACAGTGCCACAGTTGAATATTGTAAATTATCTTGCATGTAGTCTTTCTAAAAAATAATAATAATAAAAGTCAACAAGTGTAGTATTTGGAGCTACCAGGTACCACTAGAGGGAGGCATTTGATCAGAAGTCCAACAGATCACTGGCACGTTTACTGCAGAGAGGTCACCTTCCTGTTGATCTGTGACCTGGCAGCGGACCAGCATCGTGGGGAGAGGCCTTTGTTTACTGGGAGAGGTCACAAAGTGGAAAGTGTGCAGTCATGCCAAATAGCTTTCAATGACCGGACAGACTTCCTTTCAGGTTTTGCAGCTTAGAAATGATCTGAAAATAAATAAATAAACAAATGCAATACCATGTGCTTTTTCTCTCTTCACGTGTTCATCTGATCATGTGCCACACAGGACGGAGAGAAATGTACTTTTACTAGGAGGTGTAAATGGAACTTTTGTGATTGTTCACCATGTTAGCAGAAGCCGTTGCATCATTCACAAACTTGTTTAAAAGTGTATCACAGCTTGCTGAGATAATTTAACATCATAACACCAGTAATTTGACATTACATCAGATAAATGCTCTGTTTTGGTCTCTTATTCTTTACTAGTGTTGCAGACTTTGCTAGTAGCCCTGCTTGATATGCTTGAGCAGTCTTCATTCCTTTATTCAGAAAGCCTCACCTTAATTTGTTCTGGAGATATTTGCTCCCGGCAGTGCAGGAATATTAAAGCATCAGTACATATGAGCCGCTGGTAGCTGCTGGCATGACTTCAGGTCATTCCTTGACTCTGGCTGGCAGGTGTTACAAGTGGGCACGTTTCTGTTGTCTGCATTCAATGCCACACAGGCAGAAAGTCAATTTTCTACTTTTTGGCCGCAAGGTATTTTCGATTTTTTGACTCTCCTATTCCTTACAGCTATAATTCTGTGTATGTGTGCAAGGGTAGTAATTTGTTTGCTGAAACAGACATCAGCACTGATCAAAAGGAATAGTTTGGTGGTTATAGCACAGCTTTCTTTACTCCTGATCTGCATGCATTCAACACTGACCATCCATTCTAAAGCACTGTTAGGATAGGTCTGCCTGTTCACGACTACTAAGTAAACTTTAATAGTCCAGAAAATATTTAAATCACAGTTTAATAATGAACTCACATTAGCTGTCTTTATCAGTTCTGGGATATCAGTTCTTATCATGATGCAGCCCTTAAGGTGGCACAATGGTGCAGGTTTGCATGTGGAGTTTGCATGTTCTCCCTGAGCCTGTGTGGGTGCTCCAGCTTCCTCCCACGGTCCAAAGACATGCATGGCTGCAGGTGGGAGTGTGCGTGGTTGTCTGTTTGTTTGTGTTGGTCTTGAGATGGACAGGTAAGCTATCCAGGGTATACCCAACATCTCATCCAGTGTCAGCTGGGTTAGATTCCAGTAGAAAATAAAATGGGTAATGCTGATGGATGGATGGATGTAGTCCTCATGTTATTGTGGCTTTTTCAAAATTCTTAAAATCCTAATGTAATTAATGTGACAGCTGCAACTGATTTAAATTGTGACGCAATGCAGACTCAGCCTATATGCAACAATGTGGAGTTTCCTCTTTAAACGCCGATCAAAGTCTTCTGGCAAATCCAAGCCTTCCCTTCTGTCTGTTGTTGCAGCTGCACAAGCTCGAAGCTCCGCTCAGATCTCTTACAAACACCGTGCTATTATCTGCTAGATTATTGATGGGATCAATAGCTGTCGGTCCGGTGAAATCAGATCTGTTCTCTCGAGCTGCTGAAAACAACTCAGCACATGTTCAGCTCCTAGTGATTTATTTTCATTGATCTGTTTTGTGTATCAGTGTCTGCAGCCTGTTCATCTTTATGGACTGTGAGAGGTGACAGGTGAGCTTTATACACACAAGAGCTCATTTACATCGTAGCACTCACATTTAAATAATACACAAATGGAGCTAATTTCCATGCTCGTTAGTCGCATGAAACGTCCTTCCTCCTTCACCCGTATTCAAAACACAGAAGACTGGTTAAACAGAGACAAAGAAAGCTCTCAGGAATTGAAGAGCGTGTGTGATTTGTCAAAAAATGGATGGTGCCGCTTTACATCAGGGTTGCCAGGTTCAGATAGTAACTCTTAATGTGTTCAAATACTGCAGGGTGAGTTGGATCGACTTCAAACCAAACGAGCTGTCAATCAGTGAGCAGTGCCGTGTCTGCTGTACAGATGTTTCCATCTCCTCGGTGAAGATGTGCGTCGTACCACCGTCTTACCGGAGCTGCTTGACTGCAATCAATATTTTCACATGAAGTCATTTTTTTAAGATGCTTTCATAATTAACCTCGAACTCAACATGAGTATGTAGCTAAAGTGTGGCGATGGCATCCACTGACACAGCAGGGATATTAACTTTCAACTTCATTTTGATGCTTTTTGGAGATGATGATCATGACTTGTGCTACTTGCAAGCACTGCACATTAGACATCAGCTTTTTCCACATGCCTGAGGACAGCGTGACCAAGGACCGCTATCAGCTTTTCTTATTGTCAAAAGACCTCCTTTTGCTACACACACTTTTATATGTGCATCCTAAACTCACACAGCAACTTTGCATATATTCTAACTGGAACTTGAATAAGATTTGGATGTTGGGAGCAACTCATTTTCTGTCCTGTAGTGTGCTAATAGTCACATTTTGGGCCTTTTCCTGACATGACAAATGGGTATCTGGTAGATGTTAACCTGCAATGCAAACTAGTAAGTCTTACCTTCTCAAAACCAACTACTGTAGTTGATTTTAATTCAAGTTTGGGGTCTCAGAAATTAGTCTAAAAGCAGCCTTATGCCATTTTTTTCTTCTAAACAGCTTAAAGAGATAGGGTGAGGAGCTCAGTCACGCGGGAGGAGCTCGGAGTAGAGCCGCTGCTCCTCCCCATCGAAAGGAGCCAGTTGAGGTGGCTCGGGCATCTTTTCCGGATGCTTCCTGGACGCCTCCCTGGGGAGATGTTCCGGGCGCGTCCCACCGGGAGGAGACCTCAGGGAAGACCCAGGACACGCTGGAGGGACTATGTCTCCCAGTTGGCCTGGGAACGCCTAGGGGTCCCCCCCGGAAGATCTGGGGGAGGTGTGTGCGGATCGGGAAGTCTGGGCGGGAGAAGATGGATGGATGGATGGATAAACAGCTTAAAGTACCAGCATCTTTGCAACACGCTTAAAAATAAAAAAAAGCGTAATGAAATAGGACTTGTATCATTATGACTTCTACATTAGTCATGCTCTTGCAGAGAACTTTTTTTCCTTTAAACTGAGCAGACACCACACTCACATCTGGGTCATTTGGTCCAGCAGGAAGAACAAAGCCTCAGGTGTAAGACTGTTTCTACATGATTAAGACTGCAGCCACTGGGGCTGCTGTCACCGCTGCTGCAGCAACGCTCTGATCTGAATTGACAGCCGGACGTGATTTTAATATTTTAATGTACAATCACAGTGACGAGCGGCGTAACTCCGACCATTAAAGTACAAGTAAACACATTTAAGGAGCTTAACAGCAGAAGTGTCTGACTCTTTGGTTTATGACCAAATATCTGCAAAACTAATGATATTTCCATTACCTTCAGCTGGACTTTGTGCTCAGTGCAAATCAGCAAATTATGTTCATACATTAAACCAAGCGAGTGAACATCTTTATTGCTGCTGTCCTGCAGGTTACATTGTCAACACGAGTGACTACAAAACAGCAACATAAATGATATACAGCAGCTCAACAAAGTCATTATAAAAGCTGTAAATGT